CCTAGTGCCATTCTCAACCCCAGTCAGGAACGACATTGCCCTGAATGCCTAGAAACTAAAGGGCCGATTTTGCATCTTAGAACAAGAGTTTCAGGAAAGCACTAAAATAGTTTTGAGCTTGGACTGAGGAGTCAGATCTCCTGAGCAACCCAACTTAAAGTTTCTAAGTCTCCCTATCTATAAAAGGGGGGATAATGTCCCTATCTCCTGTATGGGATTGACTTGGGATACTTTAGACCAGCATTGTCCAACAGTAATGTAGTGCAAGCCACATATATAATTTAAATGTTCCAGGTACTGTATTTATAAAAGGAAACTGAAACGGGTGAAATCAATTTTAATAATCTGTTTAACCCAGTATATCCAAAGTTTATAATTTCAGCATGTTATCAATAATAGAATGACAACTGGGGCACCTGGGTGGCTCAGTCAGTTAAGCGTACAACTTTGGCTCAGGTCATGATCTTGCAGTTTGTGAGTTTGAGCCCTGCATTGGGCTCTGTGCTGACACCTCGGAGCCTGGAGCCTGCTTCGGATTCTGTGCCTCCCTTTCTCTCTGCCCCTCCCCTGCTCACACTCTGTCATTCTCTCTCTCTCAAAAATAAACAAACATTAAAAAATTAAAAATAGTAGGATGACTAATTCTTTTCACTTACATTAAGTCTTTTAAAATCCAACGTATTAGTGTACCTCAGCATGCACTAGTCACATTTCTAAAGCTCAGTAGCTAGTGGCTATATTTTAGGCAGTGCTGTCTTCAGGAATTCATATAAAACACAGTACCTAGTTCATACTTTGCCAGTTAACAAATGTTGGCAAAATGATCGTAACTTACTTTAAACACATCAAAAATTGGGTGGTCAAACATTAGTACTGCCCGTTTGCATTCATTGCCACAGGGGGAGAGGCCTCAGATCTGTTGTGGTTTTTTTTTTTGTTTTGTTTTCTTTTTTTTTCTCTTTCAAAGGAATAAAGAGTTGACTTGAATGTTCTTGGCCAATTCCCTGGAGGTTGGCCCCTAGGTTTCGGAATGAGGTCAGTTTGGTGGTTTACGGTCGACTTTTCTTCTGGAGGTGGGAAAGGGGAAACTCAGCGTGCCTCCAGTGCTGCGTGCCTGTCTCTGTTTTTTGGCTCTCTTCTGTTTAATTATTTGAAGCTGGAGCAACTTGATTTTAAAACAAAACACATGGGCCGAGAGTAATTGGGAGGACGTTTGCTAGTGATGTAGTGCTGAAGGTATGTGCAGTTGAGGCCCCGGCCCCATTCTGCTCGCTTAGGTAGTGAGTGCTTTCCTTGACCTCCCATTCAGTGGTTTTTTGTTTTTTGGTTTTTCTTTCTGAAAATTCTTAAACCTTGTTTGGAGAGTCAGAGCAGAAAGTATTAGAGCAGGATTGTAAAGGAAGTTGTGAGTCTTCTTTAAATTCTGAGTTTTCTCTCTCTCTCTCCTTTGTGGAAGATCATTGGTTTCCAGTCTGTTTCTATGATCCGGGAAGGAAAATGGGTTTTCAAAGTGCAAGAGGAGAACTTGATGCAAAGAGGAGAATGTTGACCCGCCACTGAGTTTCTCTGTTCTACATCACTCCCGTTGCTGACTCCAGCCTGGGAATTTCTGTTCTATGGCCGGTTCTTATGTGAAGGCCATGTTGTCATTGTTTTACCTCTTCAACTCCCGTTTGCCTGCTGGCGGCAAGAGTGTACGATGTCCTCCTCATCTCACATGTAATTCTAGCCCAAAGGCCTCTACTTCCTGTCCCAGGGAGGAAAATGGGAATTTATCAGGACTGGTGAGAACATATACTACATTGGCGTTAATCTCCTCTCGGTTCAAGCTGTGTGCTTCTAAGCAAATGCAACTCTGTAAGCCCCATTTTTCTCTTAAAAGGGGGTTAGTAACAGTGCCTATTCCAAAATAAAATTGCTGTGAAGCTTAAAGAGACACTACATACAAAGCAGTAAGCACAGTGCCTGGCAAGTAATAAGAAATGAATGTCAGTGAGTAGCAGGGCCCTCAGCAGTAACATGTCCACCCCAGAGGAACAGCTGACCGTGATGTTCTCTGCCACGACATCCCACCCGTTGCTTACAGTAACTGCGATTAAATGCCACATCAGGAAGATGATTGAACATTTGTCCAAGAAGAGCTTTAGTGTAGGGCATGCATTTCACCGGGACGAGTTTCACATCAATAGGTGTGAAGTCAAGCACTCTGTGATTTCTAGGTCTGATGGGATGCTGTGTATGCAGTCATCACTTGTTACCCTGTTGTGCCTAGGACCTATAAATAGGAAAGTAGCGTGCTGAATTGCCTTATTTTGGTACTACAGAGTCCCAGGTATCTTTGAGTCATTTTGGGGACTGGTACATTTGTTGTTTTCCATCAAAAACATAAAGCGACATAGCACTCCAACCAGGGCCGTAGAGGGGACCTTAGTTTTCTTTTGGGAGGTTCAGAACAACAGCTCTTTCTAAACCCTTTTCAAACCTATAAGAACGAAAGAAAGGGGTCCTCAGTTTTTGCCAAATCAAGGACTTGCTGAAGCTTTTGCGCATGGAGGCTCAGAAGGTATTACATGCTGTCTCACTGCAGAATCAGATAATTGGCGGGAGATTTGGGAAGTTCTTCTAAAAACACAACCAGATTTTCAGGGCAGTCAGCCGTCTGTTTTTGCAGTCCTGCGTTTCCCCTCTGCTCCTTCTGTTTTTCCCCAGCCCCTCTTGGATCCATTAGCCGATGCCCTCAAAGCGTCAGCAACCCCCACGCTTCCCTGCTGCGAATGATGACCTCGCCAGGTGGACAGCTCTCAGATTTCCCCTAAACTGCAAAGAATAACCACCCTCACTCACTCTTGTCTTCTCTGCGCACCCTCTCGGTGGACAGCTTTCCTGACATTTAACTTAATCAAGATGTTAGTAAAATAAACAGAGTGTGCTGCTGTCATCCGATTGAAACTGCTCATTAACCTGCCCACTCTCTTTTCACTTCAGTGTTTGGGAAGGAAATTCACTCAGAGTTGCTATTGATAATGAAGATGAGGAATAAGATGTGTTTTCCCTCATGCTCCGTTACACCCAGTTCTGACTGCCGAGCTCTTAGTGGGCAGACGGCCCTGTACAATGTGTCCTCAAACATGTGACACCCTGATTACAAGACATGCTGCTGGGACGCCTGGGTGGCTCAATTGGTTTAAGCGTCTGACTTCGGCTCAGGTCATGATCTCACAGTTCGTGAGTTTGAGCCCCGCGTCGGGCTCTGTGCTGACAGCTCAGAGCTTGGAGCCTGCTTCAGCTTCTATGTCTCCCTCTCTCTGCCCCTCCCCCCGCTCATGCTCTGTCTCTCTCTCAAAAATAAATAATGAAAACATTAAAAAAATTTTTAATTTGATTAATTAAAAAAAAAAAAGACCTATTTTAGTTAGGTAAAATCAAGAGGGGAAAAAACTGGGATGCCACTGATTTCAAGACCTGTACCAATTTCAGACATGTTAAAATGTGAGGGGGAGAATGTGTATCTTAGAGCAGAGGGAATACAGTGACAACTAACTAAAATGGAAAATCCCTCTGTTACTATTTGCTCCCCCTCCCTCCCTGGCGGGCAGCGCTGGGGGTGTGTGGTTTGTGCTTCCCGGTGCCTGTGCACGTACGGCACAGAGTTGAGAGCAGGCCAAGTTGTGGAAGGCCTCTCAACTGCAATGTAAATCATTTAACTTTCTGAAAAATGGAAGCATCCAGGACTTTTCTTTGGGTCACATTGAACCTGGTAGGATTCTTGTTACTTTCTGAAGACGTGGTAAAGAGTATGTTGAGGGGCATCCTGGGCTTCTGCATGCCCTCTGGGACCTGGCCCATTCTGACGGCATAGACAGAGTCGCCAGCTCTTTTACATTCATGTCCCTGGTCGTCCGTTTTTTTTAGTGAACATTTGGCTTGGACGGACGGGGGTAGGTACTGTTTCCTCTCCTACCCTAAAAGGCAGCATTAAACATTATTAATGACTCTGATTTTGCTCAAGGTTCTGCCTAATTATTATTCTTCATAATTTCAGTGAGTTCTAAGCACCGACATGTCCCCACCCTGTCTTTTAAAAATGTTTGAGAAGTTTTTTCCCCACTTTGAGATATAATTGACAAATAAAATTATAAGATATTTAGAGAGTACAATGTGATGATTCAGTGTACATTGGGAAAGAATTCCCTAGCCTTGAGTTAACGCTTCCATCACCTCATGTAGTTACCTTCCTGTGTGTGGGACATCATTTCCATTTTCTTAGCAAGGTTCAACTTTAGTGTTACCGACTACAGTCACCATGCTTACGTTAGATCCTCAGACCTTATTTATCTTACAACTTACACCCTTTACTACACCCTTGGCCACTACTTTTTTACTGTTTCTATGGGTTCAACTTATTTATTTATAATTATTATTCTTAATGTTTTATTTACTTATTTAGAGAGAGTGTGCAAGCAAGTGCAAGTGGGAGAGGGGGAGAGAGAATCCTAGCAGGCTCCCTGCTGTCAGCATAGAGCCTCATGCAGGGCTCAGTCCCACTAACCGTGAGGTCATGACGTGAGCCGCAGTCAACAGTCAGATACTTAACCAACTGAGCCACCCAGGCACTTCTCAACTTATTTATTTAGATTCCACATGTAAGTGATATTGCGTGCTATTTATCTTTTCTGTCTGGCTTATTTTATTTTGCATGGTGCCCTCCAGGTTGTTGCAAATGACAAGATTTCCTTCCTGTCTAAGGTTGAATAATATTCCATTGCAAATGTATACCACATTTTCTTTACCCAAGTCTTCTTAATGCTGTAATAGCTTTAGTCAAGGTGATTATGGTGTTTCTTTTTCCATAAAAGGCTATTACTCAGATTTTAGGCAAGGCTATTTCTCAGCCAGGTAAGGTGATAAAAGAATTGGTTGAAAACTTTATTTATATTTGTGTTAGTAAAAACATGGCATCTACCCTTATACTTAACGCTATCTTTCTTTCTTTCTTTCAGTTTTTGGGAATAGCATTTCTTGGAATTGGACTGTGGGCGTGGAATGAAAAAGTAAGTTGAATATCATGAAAATGCACACATATTGGTCGTTAGAGGCTGCACTTTGCCTTACATGTTGTCTCCTTTCCTCTTTGACAGCTGCAGAGTATAAAGAAATGTGGTTCTTTAATGAAAGAAAGTGTTCTTAGAAGATAGTGTCATATTTCAAAGGCTCTTCAGAAATGAAGGCTAAATCAGTCATCTTATCAAAATAATTACAAAAGTAACAATACATGTGCATAACATCAGTTAGCAGGAGATGTGCGTTCTTGTGGAACGTTTCCTCGCTCTGGCACAAGAATTTCAGTAATGCTTATAAATACCACTAAACCACCTGCAGCCTTCTCTCTTTCTCTTTTAACCCTTTGGAAGATTACTCAAGCCGTAAAAGATGGTTTTTCTTTTTAGTGTGAGCATTATGTAATAAGCTGTTATTAGCATGTTGTATGAAGGAAGCTGTATAAAATTCATGTTTGAATATCAGATAAACTTAACGTTAATAAGAATGTGAATACTTGTCTGCTGATTGAAAGTATTTAGTAATGTTCGAAATTTAGATACAATATAGTAAAAGGAAATATCTGGAAGTACAGAGTGGCATATTGTAGGCTACGGTGAAGATACAATGTTCTCAATGTTCTCGGCAGTTTATGCTCTAAGCAACACTCTCATGACCCGACCTCTCTGTGTCCACTCCTCTGCCTTACTTCCCATCAGCACCTTTTAATTGTTTCTTTACAAATTCTACTGAGGCTAAGCACTGGAATTCAGAAATTAACGTGAGCTTTTTTTCTTCCTTCTTTGGAAGTGAAATCGTTGGCAGCGTTTTATCACCCACCTTGTGAGAGTGAGGGAGTGTATGGATCAGTGAAAGCTTGTAAACAGAGTTTAGCTTAAGTTTTCCCAGAGGACCAGTCTGTTATCTCTTTGGTATTTCATCCTTTGAGCTTGACCACAGCCTGAAGCCAAGAGTTTCTGTGAGATGTTCTGTGTATTAGGAGAGGAAAAACTAAGAAAGTCCAGCCATCAAAAGCCCCTCGGATGCCAGTAGGAATTTCTATAAGTAAAAAATGGAAAAAAAAAAAATGTTCAGATAGACCGCATCAAATAAAACTCATATTCTGAGTTTTGAAAGTGAACCATCCTTTGTTTATTTGCAGACTACTTATACAGAATGTAAAATGTTTTACAGAAAGTGAACCACCTTCCAGCAACATTCTGAGGCAGGCCAGTGATGAAGGGAGACAAATTAAGTTCCCAGAACAGACATTTCCTCTCTAGAAACTTTTATGTTGAATACATATCTTCTGCCTGGTCCCCTTGTAGGCTTGTAAGTTTGTATTGGTGGAATCTCAGAAATGTTACTTTTGAAGCCTTCTGATTGGTTAATGCCAGATAACACAGCTTTTTATAACTCTCCTTTAATAAGAGTCCATTTCTATCTGATTTGAAAAGATGTTGGAAGGCATTAAATGAACTAATTGTCTATTGTGGCAACAAACAGACCATTGGTAATTTGGGAGGTTTTTTTTCCACTTTGTGAAATATAATTACCTTTTTGTTTCATCAGTTACCCCAAATGTCTCTTCTCTGATAAAATGACAAAATTCTAAAGCTGGCAGTGTCACACAAATATCAGAGCAAGGGAGCGATGCAGCCTTTGGGTAGGGTTGAAATAGCAGTCCCTTCTTTGTCAAAGCCACTACCAGTGAATGGAAAGTTTCTCTGGAGAGCTGAAGTTACTTGGCCAGCCAGCCAGCCAGCTACTATGTAGCAGAACTTCACCAGCTGGGAATAAATGGAGGTAGCAGAGGGTAAAGGACTCATAGCAACCCTCTCTAGTGAACTTTGGCCACATGTCTGGCCCCTGGGCGTGGGGACACAGCAGTGAATGACGTGCAGTCCCTGCGCTGTGGAGCTTGCATTCTTGTGGGGCCCTGACAATAAGCAGTTAACTGGCTGAGGACTTCTTCCTACCACCTTGGGTGCTACCTACCACGATGCTGGCCACCTTGGGTGCTACCTACCCCGATGCTGACCACCAAGGTCTCTCGAACTGCAATGGACCCATACTGGTCTCCTTAATTCCTCAAGGGACTTCTTGAAGATGTATGTCAGATAATTTCACTTCTCTACTCCAGCCAGCTGATTTTCCATAGCTTGCTGCAAAACATAGAGTTGATACAATCCCCGTTGGGCCCTTGCCCCAGCACTGAGGCCTTTTTGTTGCCTGATGGCATCTGTGCCTCTGCCTTCACTGGCCCTGATGTAGACACTGTCCCCTCAGGAGTTTCAAGGGACCCCGAGTGCTCTTTGCCTAGCTATCACCAAGCTCTGATCCAAGTCCGGCTCAAATCACCTTCCTATGGAACCTACCTGACCTTTCGCCTCCCTACTATGGACCTGTTTCCCCACACCCATGTCCATGTGACATTCTGTCTGTCTCACTTCATCCTTTCCTGTCTCCTGTCATCAGACCTTTCATGACATGTCCTCACCGTCTTGAATTGTGCCTGACACGGACAGACTCTGGGGAAATATATTTTCCAAGAAGTAAATTCGAGAAGAGGGGTGAACAATAAATCAAGGTCTCAAAGAAGGTACAGTGGGGTTGGAAGGGGGCACATAGGGAAGAAACCCACCTGGGGGGAAGTGGACCAGCAGGAAGGAGGGACAGGTAGGGCTGCAGTCTTGCCCATGGTGGTCTGCAGGCTTTGTTCTTCCCCATAGCCTTCACACCCCTACTTCTGGGTTACCTGAGGACACTGGATTCAGGGTGAGCACTAAGCAGGCCCCTGCACTGCCACCATCAGAGCACGCCTAACATGAGGCCGTGGAACCCAAGGTGATTCAATGGGTGGTCGCCAGGCCACACTACCAAGCTGCCCCTCCTGCTGAGCTTCCTGTCCCCACAACCCCCTCCCTCCACTATGCCCCTTTGGCCTCCCACTGTGACTCGGTCCATTTTCCTCTCCCCAAAACCGCTGTTTCATGCTGGTGAGTGCTATCAAGAAACCTAAGGTATCTTTAGAGAGTGGTGAGAGAAGGGGTCTCTTTTAGAAAAGGATGGTTGGGAATGGTGTCCCTGTGGAGGTGGCATTGGAGCAGAGACCCGAAGGAAGTGGGCAGGGTCTGCAGGGTACTGGGGGAATAGCATTCCAGGCAGAGCGAATAGCAGGTGTGGTGGTCCTGAGTCAGGGACTTGGGGTTCCAGGGAACAAGAAGGAGGTCAGTAGGACTGGAAGGGAGAGAGCAAGGGCAAGAAGAAGATGTGGCAAGAGGGGCAGGCAGAGAGGTTAGAGCAGGCAAGGTCCTGCAGAAGTTTGGATGAGAGGAAGTCACCAGGGCATTCTGAAGTTTGATAAGGGAGTGTCCTGATTTGGCTTTTTTTTTTTTTTCTTTTTTCTTTTTTCTTTTTTCTTTTTTAAGTGTCTGGCTTTTGTTTTAAGATTGCTCTGGTTCCTATGTGGAATAAGAGCACAGCTTTGAGGCTAAACAGACCAGAGTTCAAATACTGGTTCCTCCATTTACCATCGGTGTGACTTTGGACAACTGTGTTAACTTCTGTGAGATGTCCTTTCCTCATTTGTGCATTGAAGACAGTAACCACCTCATAGGCTTGTTTTGAGGACTAAATGAGATGGCCCCCAAGAAGTGCCTGGTATAAAGTAAATGCTCCTTGTATATAGGGCTGCCTCCCTTGGACGCATGACTATAGCATGGGGAGGAGCAAAATGGTGGCGTTGGAAGCTGCCTCAAATTTTAGGAGAGTTCAGGCTTTGATCTATGGAGCAAAGAATTGGTTTTGTTTGGAGGTCTCTTAAGGAAGATATGATCTGCATTGATCACCTTGGTGACTGCAAAAGCTTCTCTGTCAAAACACCTTGGGTTAACTTCTCACCTCTGATGGGATGAAATTTTGAGGTGAACCACAGTTGGCCAAGGGTGGTGGGTAGCACGCACCTGCTGAAAACACCAGCCCATGAATCAGTGAGCTCCCCCCAGTAGGGATGTAGAATTGGTAAATCTCCAAACTGGTTCGGTCCCAGCTAGAAGGACCAGATTTCCACTGGAAGGATGAGATTTCTTTAACAGACAAGGCTTTACACATTTTTACACATTTTTAGTGACAAAAATTATTACCCCCTTGTGCATACATAATACCAGGCTGAGCCTTAAACCTAGGGCTAATATTACCATTGAATATTAGACATAATAATGAAATAATCCATTTTATCTGAATTCCAAATTGACTGTGCAAAGGATAACTGTGTCTCCAGGGGAAACTGGTTTATGTGCAGATTTTCAGAAATCATAGAATCTGCTGTTTAGAAGGAACATTAACAATTATGTAGCATGAATCACCTCTATAATAGGCTTGGCAACATCCAGCCATAATCAACTTACTTTTTCAGATAGCATTTATTGAGCACATAGCACGGGATTGGGTTCGTACTGGACTCAGGATATAACTCCTCAGAGAATTTACAGTCTAGGAAAGATACACACACACACACACACACACACTACTATACAATATATAACATTGTAATATATGCTAATTTGGGGTGTATATAAATTTAGCAATTTCTGTGCCAAAATACTCACCACTTCTGTCTCTTTGGGTTACTTTTACTGTTGGAAAGACCTTCCTGCTACAAAAGTCGAATCATGTCTTACTAGTTTTTACTCCTTGATTATGGATCCACTCTGTTGGATCCCACAGAGCAAGTCCTTCTACATGTTGGCCCTTAAGGCATTCAAGGTGGAGGCCTGGTTCCTTATGCGTTTTGAGCTAAATACCTGCTTCTTTTTGTGGGTGAGGAGTCCCTTCACCATCTTGGTTGTGATCCCCTGACCTCTCTCTAGTGTGTCCCCTGTACCATTGAGAAGGTGCTTTAGGGGGCATAGGAGGTGTGGCTGGACTATGTCCCTTTTCTCATCTGTTGTCAGTGCAGTTTGAGATCCTGCTGTTGATCACTGGGAGTCCCAAGTTGGTCTCAGATCCAACT